AAACTCTTCATGCATAAATAAGGAGGCAAGGTTCATTTTTCTGTATTGTCTATCACTACATGTATTTTTAATCTTTGAAGGAAGACATAGAAAAAAGAAGAAAAGGAACAATTTCACACCTGCAGATAACACAAATGTAGCATGTTTGAACTTCTGTTGCCTTTTGTTAGTTTTACTTAAGAGATCTGCTTCCAGGGATGCTTTAGTAATAATTATATAACATCTCAGAGGCTTCAGGGAAGGATCATATTGGCTTTCTTTTCTCAGAAGCAGAGCTTCAAATTGCTGCCCTTACTTTCAAATCACTAGCTGTGTCATCCTCGTATACCTTTTCCTTTATTTCTTCCTCCTGCTTCTTTGAGCCATCTTTCACAATGCCATAAATGCTTTAAGCAACCTCACAATAAAACCTTTTCCTATTGTGTATTTATTTTGCATACATGGATACAAAATTAAAATATGTCTATTATCACTGCATATGTCTTACAAGTCTTATAATGAAATAGAGGTATTGTCACCCACCTACTCTATAACCCATTGCAATACAACACAGAGTTTACAGTTCAGTTTCACTCTTCAGCCAGCTAGGGTTTTTCTCTGAATCTGAATAAGAAAGGCCTGAAAACAAATAACTTAATAAATTTAATGATTTAAAAAGACAAAGTAAAGACCAACAGAGACAGCAAGTTCCTGCAGCATTGGATTAATCCTGGATGGACTTCTCCTTTGGCAGGCTGCCATCCCATCTCTGGAGAAAGGCTCCTTTTTGGCTGCAGTATTTTAGTTTTCTTACAAGAAAACAGCTATTCCATAAAGAATGTTCACAAGAGAGCTTTAACTCCTTGTGTGCTTCTAGATAAGGGCAAGGCCATACAGTTGCTCTAATCGCCTGCACTCTGTGCCGAGGAACTTCCAAGGGTTTTGTGCACCACAACCCAGGCCCAGAGGCAGCACAGCACAGACCTGGGCCTGCTCCACTTAACTGCACCATGAATCACCGACTCCTGGACGTACAGGGCTCTTCTGGCCAGGATCACTGCACTTCTCCTGCTTCCATCATCTTCAAAGAGTGTCTGTTTTTCACCCATGTTTTGCCTCCTTGCACATCCCAGATAATGTCCTAGTGCATTTTGGACTTTGAGGTGTGGAAATGAGAAAGAGAGTGTTGCTGATATTGAGGGTTTGTTCTCATTTGGTTTTCATGTCATTCCTTTTTCAGATAACCTGCTGAAATTAGTGATTCAGAAAGCATAAAATATGTCCCATCTTAGGGCTGAACACACTGGCAAACAGCCTCGCACAGAACTCACTGTTTTGTCTGTGATTTTTACAGTATGGTATTTTTTATATCCTCTCTGTAATGGGACAAGCTTTATTGCACTGACACTTTGTGTTCTTCCTCTTCAGACTAGAGAATACTGGTCAAATTTGAGATATATGACTGGGGAACAGAGCGCACAGAGAGAAATGAGAACTGGAAATAGTAAACTATACCTGATGAGTTGTATGTTTGTTTTCACACAGTAACATGTTAAATGACTGTGTTTGTTAGCTCACCAGCAGTCCTAAACATTTGTTCCTTAGCAGCTTTCTTACAGCCCTGATGCACTTCTGGAGGAAACTGCTCCCCAACTCTGAAATGCAGTGCAGCAAGCACAGCTCCTTGCTGTATTTCCACACAGATTTTATTTACTAAGCTGGCAAAACACAGACACAGGAGAATTAATTAATGTGCTGACACTCTCAGATGGGATTCTTGTGGATCTCTCTGGATTACCATGAACGACTGCCAGTGCATGATCAAAGCAAATGTTTATATTGTTCTGAACTGCCTGCAATAGGAATTCTTGCAGATGATAATCTGTTGCTGAAGTTTCTTTCATACTTTGCAGGCAATAACCATGTAATGTAGTAAATTTGTGGATGGTGTAAGTTGGATTGCCTCCTGACCTGAGAGGCTCAAAGCAGCACTGAAGCAAGCTCAGGTAGTTTCTTGAGCTATCTTGTAGCAGGGAAAACATCCTGCAACAGAGAAAAGTTTCTTTTTGACAGGCCTGTTTTTATCTGAATGCAGGTATGGCAGGACAAAATGTGAGAGTTCATTGCTGGTCCTCTTCTCTCAGGAGGCTCCTAAAACCTGCCAGTAGTCACTTCATAGAAAGCCTTCAGGATTTCTGTAGCTCTACAGAAGGCAATTGTACCCTGCTGTAGCCAGCACAAAAACTGAGTTGTGGCTAAATGAGAAGAAATATTTCTAACCAAGGTGTTAAATCATCTGTACATATGCTTCTCCTTAGTCTTACCAGACATGTAGTTTTAGAACAAAAACTAGGCTTGTTTAATGCACTTTCTTTTTCTTGTGACTGAACCAGTTTGTTTTGGTTTTAGTTCCAAAATGATAAATCAGCTGCACGTGAAGAGATTGTGTCTATGAACCTTACAGCTAATTTATGTCAGTTTAGACCACAATCTAGCAAAATGCATCACTTTGGAACTGAAATCAGCTGAACTACTTTGTCCTCAAATGGATAAATGCTCATTATTGGATGGCCCAATTAAGATTTCTATTACAGAATGTGATTTCTATTGAATGTAGAGTGGAATTAGAGCATTAGAGAAAACTTACTATTTTTTTTAGTGTTGGTAAGTAACTATAGCAAAATGCTCTCCTTGAGCTATTCTTAAGACACAACAGGAATTGTCTCAGTGAAAGAAAATCCTGCCCAAAATCAGGGTCCAGAACTGAGGGGATTAATCATTAGTACATGACATGACATGGCATTGTCCTTATTTCTTCTCAATCTTCCTTTTTTATTGTAAAAGAGGAGTTGAAAATGCATCATGTTGCTTGAACTGTTGTATGCAAAATAAAGCAGGGTTATGGATATTTCACTCAAACTTCATTTCTTCTTCATTTCTTAGTTGTGTTTTTATTTGTGATTCACTCCTGATTGAATGAATATTATTTGTATCTCATTTAAGCTTTTCATACTCTAGTATTAGATTCCAGTTGCAGAATGAAATGAGTAATTACCCAGTGCCCTGACAAGACAGAATAAAGAATTTGAATTTAAGGTAGCAATTTGGGCTGCTCCCTGACCTCAGGGTTTTCATTTGCTCAGGCTCAAATTGATTTCATTTGAGCTTTAAATGTTTTTCTTTGCTATCTGGTTCACAAAGCAGTCTTTGTGAACTGATGGACCAAGATTAGACTTTGTAACCATTTTAAATATCAAAATTAATGCGTTGCTGTGAAGAGTATCATTTTGGGAGATGCCTCACCACAAAGAACAGTGAGGTTCAGTTATATTCTTTTAGAATACCCCAAATAGTTTAGAAAATTCCACAGTGCTGTTATTCTTTGTTTGAAAGCTATGGATATGTATTTCATATCTGCTTTAGTAGAATGTTTCAGACAGACAAAGACAGTAATTATCTGGTAAATACTCCTGTGCACCATATCAGTTCAGCTACTCTGTTATTAATTTAGTATCTCCAGACATGCTGGAGATTCATTAGCCACATTTATCTCCATTTCTATTTACTAAGACTTGTCACAAATATAAATGACAATGAAGGGAAATTAGCGAGTCTTCTGAAATGTGTCAGAGATGTCTACAGTCCATTCAGTTTTTGTGATTTATTCTCTGTGCCTCCTTATCTGGTACAGTTTCTTTCTGGCCCAACAGCAGATTGCTGAAGTCTTTCATATCAATGCTTTTGAATGACTTAGAGACAACAATCATAAAAAATGACAATAACATTTTTGAGTTATTTAGTAACAAAAAATGTGTACAGTAATGTAAAGTCACTCGTTCAGCTAAGTCAAAACTAGCAACCTGTAAACCACAAGCATCATACAGAGATTGTTGTCAGAAAGTTTAAGTCTTGTCATAGTTCTCTATTTAGATTTATAAGGCAATTTACTATTAGGATGAACAGATGGAGCACCACCTTTTCTAGGTCCTTATGGATTAAAGCTTTCAGTTATGCTTTGGTCAGAAGGCAATTGATTAAACAATAAGCTCACTGTCCGTCTATGTTTCTTTCTCTATCTCTTTTAAAATTAACTGGAATATGTGACTTTGTCTGATAAAATATGCATTTTTGTCATGTTCTAAGACTGGGTATATTTTTAAAATTATCTTTTCAAAAATAAATAAACCAACTCTGTTTGTGATACTGAAGACAAAGATGGTCTTGGATTCACACTAACTCTGAAATAAATTTCTGCAGAACTGCTGTGCAATCAGTAGTTCTCCATCCAGAATGTATGTAGTTGATAATACAGTGCTAGTATTCTCCATACTCAGTAGCATCCTAGGTTGTTTGGAGTTTTTTTGTGTTTGTTTTTTTTTTCCCTTTTCTGTAGGTTGTTATTTTGTTTTAGTTTTTGTTTTGTCTGTTTTACCTGATTGTCACAATTATTCTGAACCCTAATCCTGTTCTCCAGAATGGGTACAAATTCTCTACAAATTTCTCTTTCGAGAAAGGCAAAGTGAAGTTTACCTTGAATTCTTCCTGACTGTGTCAGTATAAAATCACACTGGAAAAAACCCATAAATTACAAAAAAGGTGAAACCCATGTTTTGCACGCAAGGAGACCTTTACTGATAAGTGTCTCTAAAAGATATGCCTTACGTTTCGCGAGGTTAAATAGAAGAAATGGATTTTTAGAACTGTATTGAAAACTGCTTGAAACACCTGTTACTCCTTTAAATAACTTTTAAAGGAAATTTTGTAGTTATGTCAATCGTTGCATCCAGAGCGCCACAAACGCAAGCTGAAAACGGCCGCATCAGTAAAACCCTCAGTGAAACAGAACTGCTTACACACTTTTGATTAAAACCAGGGTGTAGGGAATACGGGAAGAGCATCCAAGACGGACATAAAGCGGGTTGGGCGGCGATGCAAGCAGGAGAGCAGCCCGGCCGCTCCTCCGTCCCTGAGGCGGAAGGAAGGGCCCGCGCGTCACCGCCACGGCTGCGCACACGGCGCGGCGCCGGGCTGCCCCTGGCTTTTCCCTGCTTCTCCTTCCCTTCCTCCTGCTCCTTCCCTTCCTGCTCCTCCTCCCCTAGGGTCCGATGGCGGCGGGTGACACGGAAAGGGCCCAGCAGCAGGTGAGTGGCGGAGGGGCCCGCGGGGACCGCGGTGACTTCAGGGGGCTCCTGGTGAGCCCCGGCCCCGGAGCGGCTCCGTGCCCGCTGCGGCGCGCTGCACCGCCGCACTTCACGTGTTTTATTTCTAGGTAGAAGGCAGTTCCCCGGTTATTCTTTATGGGAATTTGTTGTGTATCCGCTCCTCCTCAGGACGAGCTTAGTGCCAAACCTTCGGGGTCTTTCCCCTGCCGGGGTCCGACCCAGCCAGCCCGGAGCAGCGCCCGACTGGGAGCTGCAGGGAGCGTGTTGGCATCTCCTCCAACAGGCGCTTTGCTCGCCTTGTCACTGCTGAGGTGACAGGATTATCCAGAGAAATTCAAAAGCTGTTGTGTGTGTGTGAGACCTGAGCAAAGGTTACTTACAAAATCACAGGGTCAGTTAGGTTAGAAAATACTTCTGAGATCATCGAGTCCAACCTGTGAGCAAAGACCACCGTGCCGACTAGACCAGGGCACTGAGTGCCACATCCAGTCTTCCCTTAAACACCTCTGGGCACAGTGACCCCACCACCTCCCTGGACAGCCATTCTAATGTCTCATCACCCCTTCTGTGAAGAAATTCTTCCTAATGTCCCACTTAAACCTCCCCTGGCGCACCTGAACTCCTGTGAATCAGGACTGGATCCCCAATAGCCTTCCAGTGCAGTGAATCTTGTCATGTCTGTCAATGAGTTGTAGAAGAGAAAGACTTTAAAAAGATGAAAATATCATTGGCACAAAAAGTTGTGTGGGTTTTATGAGGTGGGGTATTTACTTTTGCTTTTTCCCTTTTTTTAGATTGATGAAATTGAAGCCCTTTCATCAATCTATGGTGATGATTGGTGTGTTGTTGATGAAGATGAAAAAATCTATTGCATTAAAATTAGTGACTGTCTGGACCAACCAAAATGGACCCTGTGTTTGCAGGTACTGTGGTGGTAAAAAGTTTAACATGAATTTTGCAGTTAGACTGATGCAGGTGAAATCTTTTAAATATGGTTTATTATCTCCTCAGATGATTAAGAAGCTTTTGGATTGGAGTCTGTGATAAGACTTTTCAGTGATTCTTCCTGTAACACATTGGTTTGCTTGTGATAAATTCAGTAATTGTGTATCCTGATTCCACACCTAACCAAAGCATTTCAGTGTATTTCACCAAAGACTAATTTCTGAAATACTTTTACACTGAGGACTTTGTGCCTCGGTGAATCTACTGCAGTTTTGCAAAGTCTAGATTTGCTTTCTGGAGAGTGTTGAGACAAAAACAAATTTGGATCAACTTAGTTGATTCAACTCCTTAATGTTTTCAGAACTGAAAGCAGTAAGTTTACTTGGCGTAAGAAATATGGAAGTGTCTACTTAGGGAAATGTGGTACCACTTTTTTAAGTCCAGTAACCGAGTATGCTGCTTCTTTCAGTTTTTTCTGTACTTTATTTTGCGTCCCTATAAATTGCCCCATAAAACATAATTGTATGCATTACCACTATTGGAGTTTTAAATGCAGATATTCAGTGTTTCTTGTAATTCTGTAGCAACATACCCAACTGCTTTCTTCATTTGTAACACTAATTGTAGTCCTGGTGCCTGACATCAGAGTCCTTCAGTAAAACTCATCTAGCTGAGGGTAGTCCAGTGAATACATATCCTGAATTTCTTTCAGGTGATTTTGCCACCAGGATATCCAACTGCAGAGCCACCTATTTATCAACTAAAGTAGGTGATGTTTTCTTGCAAACATTTGTGTTTGATGAATTGCCACTGTTAATTGTTTACCTGTAAGTGGAAGTTTAGTTAAAATACTCCTTGAATTGAAGCATACCAGTGATTTGGGATGTTTCCAGCAAGGATATTCTATTCTTTATCCTGCTTTTTCCAAGATGTTTGCAGCTGGAATCTTGATGGTTGGCAAAGTTTTATTTTCAAGGGGTTCATCAGATTTATTTGGGAATATTGGAAGAGCATATAGCACAATTTTAATTGCATTTCTTTTCATTCTAGTGCCCCTTGGCTTCGAGGACAAGATTATACGGAACTAGCAAATAGCTTGGAAGAAATATATGTGTAAGTTTGAGATGTGGAATATAGTAAAAGGAGTATTTTCAGTTTCTATCAGTTCTTCTGTCTATTCAGTTTCAATGTATTTTCAGTTTCTATCTGTTCTTCGCTTGAAAGTTAGAACACAGGAAATGTGAAGACATTTGGTTGTCTTAGTGCATAAATGGCATACCAGTTTTTCTAAAAAGCTAAGGGATACATAAGTTTTAAAATAAACATGTGCAGATTCTCTTGACTGGAATCTGGAACATTGTGGACTATTTATTATCACAGTGTGCAGCTAACTAATACAGGGCATAGTGGATGCATGAGAATAAAAAGCTAAGTTTAGAAATACTCAAGTTACATGATTTTAAATTGCTGTGAAAGTGGGGTAGAAAATGTAGTAGTTTATTTGTTTCTTTTGTATCCCAGAGATTATATAAAATAAACGAAATGAAAACACAAGGAAGCACTCATGCCCTGGACAGTGAAATCTGAGCATCTTGCATAAGAAATGTTTTTTTAATGCCATAAGGAAGAGACCTCTTAGCTTGCATAAGGGTTTTTTACTTTTATTAACTGGGTTTCTTAGCTAATTAAGACACAGATCATTTAAGAAGTAAAATTTAATTTGAAGTGTTAAAAATGTGCAAGAATTTTAAATGAAAAGTTCTGTGTGATCATGTTCACCACAATTGTTCAGTGGAGCAAAATAGATGGAGTTTGTCCTTAATTCTGTCCAGTTTCAAAGGATTTGATGGAGTCTCTACCACAGGTAGAGCTGCTGGTTTCTTTTTTGTTCCCCCCCGTGCAGTCCTGTAGGCTGTCAAATTGTGCTGGTTCAGCTCCCTTTTCTCTATATCATCTGCTGGTCAGAGTCCTTACTGGTCTGCTCTCACTTCTGTTTGTTCAGCAGGAAGTGAAAGTGTTTGTACTTTGGGGCATATATGTACTTTAGATCATTTTAAACAGTTTAAAAACCTGGAGTGATCACTGATGTGCACAGCATTTGTGAAAACCTTTTATCTATTCAATGTCTAGATGATTGTCAGGTGAACAGAGATATTCTGCATTATTTTACATTGTGTTTGACCAGGATTCTAGTCCCTAGGGATCCAAGTTGTGTAGTTCTGCAGTCTAAACCAACACAAACTACACTGTCAATTGCTGTAGAAAAAATGGATATTTATAGATCACAAGTCTGTTTTAGGAGACACAAAGTAATTTACAACTATTCAGAAACTGTAATTGGGTGATAGTTGGACAAATTGCTGTTTAGTTTTGTAAAACAGGGAAATTTTATTCCTCTTCTGTCTCTCTCCATCACTAAAAAATGTCTTCAGATGTTAAAGCAGTGTGCTTTAACACAATAAGCTGTGCTTTTCACACAATAAGCTGTGTGAAATTAGGGTGTTGAATTGTTCTGGAGTCTGTCTAGATTTCAAAGTGAGAGCTACAAGTTCATAAAATCCTTATTTTTGCTTGAATATATTTTCTTAAAATAAGGATGCTTATTTGAATTTAATTGTTTCCAGCAGTAGTGCTGTATACATTAAGCGGATTTTAAACACATGATTTTGTTACTTAGCTGGTGCCCAGATGGTGGCAGTAAGAGTAAAATTAATGAGAAACTCTGAGATTATCTATGGCCCTAAATCTTTAGTTTTGTTTCTTAGACGAGCATGCATAGTTCAGAACCATTTTAACCATTTGAGTTGTTTGGGTTGTGCTGCACATAAAGGAAGCGTTCATTAAATCCTAACACGCGTGTGTAAAACGTGTTCATCACATCCTCCCTCAGTACCTTGATACACATCTGTGCTCCCTGAGTGAAGCCTCCGAGGCCTAAATCTTTATCTCCCTGTCCTATAGCACTGCCTAATGCCCAGACATAGTGTTTCATTCCAATGCTCCACTGACCTCTATCACAGTCCACCGATGAGTTTTTCACCCAGTGAGCTACTGAGACAGCACTTGACACAAGCCTGCCTGAGCTCTTTATCTCACTAGCTTATGTTCAATTTCTGTGTCTGAAATCTGTATGTTATTTTGTGTACTTTCAAAGTGAAATTAGCAAAAGTGATTCTTCATTTGCCATGACCTTTTACTTGCAGACAGAACCTTGGTGAAAGTATACTGTATTTGTGGGTGGAGAAGATACGAGAAGTTCTGGTGGAAAAGGCACAGTCTTCAGATCCAGGTACTTCAGAAAGTACATGGGGTTTTTATTTTCCTTCTTCTTCCACTGCACAGTAAGATTTCAGTACAAGTTAGTTTAGGCCCACTTTTGAATTGGATCTAAATATCAGAGAACAGTCTCCTGTGTCAGGGCTTACTGTTTTACAGTGGCAGTGTCCCTTTTTAAAAAGCAGCAGGGTAAAGAAGGTGGGGGTGGGCCTCTGAACTGGAACAAGGTCTGCAGTTCTCTCAGGAATGAAATGATTTGCTTGAAAGGACAGTGCTGCTCACGGGTAGATTACGTCTTGCCCTCCATTCTGCAAAGCATTATTCATACCAGTAATTCATTTCTGGTGTTGAGTGGATTTGGATTCAAGAGAAGATAACTTCAGTGGACTGTGCAGACAAATGACCAAGTATTCCATCATTTTATTTTTCTGTCCTTCCATTGATTTTACTGTATTGGGATGAGAAGTACATCATCAGCAGAGCTGCAGTGATTCTTCTGCTGTTATTCTTACAGAGTTTGTGTAAATTCACTGTTGTTTCAAAAACTGGTGGGGGGTTTTGTGCATTAAAATGCTAAACTGCTATGAAATGTGTGAGTGACGTATGCATGCACAGTGGCAAAAGGAAGCAGAATTACTTTTCTCTGTCAGGATGCTACCTTTTTCCTGTGAGAAATAAAATTCTGAAGAAAAAAAAAAGTCATTTTCAGTGTGGTTTCATGGTAAGGTCTAGTGTTAGTCTTTCAATAAACTGTGTATTTTGTTGCTACATCAGACATTGGAGAAGTCATTCTTCACTGATGTGGCTAAAAGAGTGGACACTGAGAAGTGAAAATTTTACTGGCAGTGTTGGAAGTTTGGGTATTTTGACCACAACTTCCATTTTTGAACATGTTTTATCACCCTTCTGTTTTGTTTTTTTTTTTTAATGGAAAATACATACATTATGAAACTTGCATTAAAACACATCGTAGCCCTCTAAATAGGAATGAAATTGTGATATGTTAATTTGGCTCTAAATCCAGATGTCAGAACCCTGTATATTTCCTCCTTTGTTATTGACTATTATTTTTTAGACGTTCTATGCATAAAGAAAAACGGGATTTTTGGAATCCTGGAATACTTGAAGCATGTTGAGAGAGAAGTTTCAAATCTAATAATTTTTTATGTAATAATTTTATACCCTCATGAAGTGGCATTGAGCAACAGCTCTGCATTTTCCCCCAAATGACCAGTAACTGCCTGGAGTTTTTGTGAACCATCAACTTAATTTGATCCCTAAATTCAGATAAAAGGTAGCATTTTGAATATTTAATGGAAATAGTAAACATTATTGCTCTTTTTTTCTTTGAAATACTGTTACTTACTATTGAAACAGAAGGTCTTATGGAAGGATCCCATAGTATGAGTATTTTATTTTTGATTCTCAGGAATTTTTAAGTTAATACTGGGATGAGTACTTTTGGGTTTTGTTGTAATTAATGTTAGTATTCTGCATTTAATAATTTTTAATGTCAAACTGTTTTGAACTGAGAAGACAGAGACTTTTGAGAAAAAAGAGTTGAAAATTTGTTTTGCTTATCTTGCAAAAATGTGTAATAAATTCTACTACTTGTATCTTAATAGAACCAGATATTAAGAAAACCACTGAAGAAGTTGATGAAGATGATGGAGATGATTTTCTCCTAGACTATCAGCCCACTCAGGAAGATCAAGCTAAAATGTTAAATCACATGGCATCTGAAAGTCAGGAAGGTAAAAAATACCCTCTTGTTAATTCTGTTGAAATAATTTAAATGAAACCTGAAGATTCTGGTTTCCTACTCAGCTTTAGAATAAAATTAGTGACAATGGAATTAAAATAACATTTAATAACAGTCACTAAAAATGCAATATATTTTTGGTGGGTTTGTACATTATTTTCTGTACTTCACTTTAATAAGTCCCTTTTCTTATAGTTGAGATATTCTTTACTTTTGTAGCCCCATGCATTGTTTCTGTCCTCTTAAAAGAAAAGAAACACTCCCTTGTTTGTGACCCATAGATGAAGAACTGCCCCCCATACATCATGGAAACCCAATCACAGATCGAAGGAGCACTTTCCAGGCACATTTGGCTCCAGTGGTGACAACCAGACAAGTTAGTAGAGATCAGTTCTTCTCTTTTTGCCTGTGCTTTGAGCTTGACAAAGTATTACTGGAATATTTGGGATTTGCCAGATACGTTGGTCTGTCTGTGCATCTTTCTGTGCTGGTACTGTCTGAATAGTCATTGGTTTCTCACTTTCACTATCAGCTGAATAGTGAAGTAGCAGCTCTTCTTCCTGCTATTCTTTACCACTGTGTGCATTAGATGGACAAGAATAAGAACCCTGTAATTTGACTTCTGGATGTTGGCAAGTTTATCATAAGATGTTCGGAAGTTACCGAGTCTGTCATGTGTTAGCTGGAAAAGCTAACACATAAAATGGGTTTATATATGTTCTCCCTCTTTCAGAAAGGAAATCTGTTGAAAAACTCACTTGGATCATGCATAAGTAAATCTTTATTATGACCTAATTGAGAGGGGTTTGGAGCTTCTCTTGTAAATCACTTTCCATCTGTTACCATCAGCCTCCTTTGATCATCCCTTTTTAGTGGGGAAACTACTGTTCTTTTCTTTTATTAACTCACTTAAACCTTGAAAGGATTTTTCTCTTTATTTTTATGCAATTTTAGGGTTTTATTAAAGAATTTTTGGTAAGGGGCATTGTCAAGTGCTTGAAGTTCCGTGTAAGCTAGGTCACCTACATACTCAGTGGCTATGAAAAAACACAGCCAGGTTGACAGTGGTTTTAGGCTGATTTCTCTATGCAAAAGCTGTAATGTTTGAAGCCATCTGTGTTTTGTTTTGTTTTTTCTTCCCCCTCAATAATTTGCGTAATATGGACATAAGAATTGATCTCTAAATCCCAGCATCCCTTTGACCTTTCAAGTTCACATACATTGTATATTCATGTGGGGTTTTGTGTGTGTAGGAGCAATCTTACTCACAAATCATGATAAAAGGGTGAGAGTATTTTAAAATGAAAAAGATACATTAAGCCAATGATTTCTATTTCTTCCCTTTCTAAAGTAACAGAGTTCATTTATTATATATGTATCTTAAAGACTCTCTTAAAGAAGATACAGCTGTAGCACAAAAATTAACCTTTATGTTTTCAGGAACCAGGTAGCTTGGAAATAAGTAGTGTCAAAGGTGAAGATAATTTCATATGAATTGTCCTTTAAGTCCCTGTATTGAAACTTACTGTTTTAACATACTGTCCATGTTTATGAAAGTCTATTAAGTAATAAGAATTGTTTCCTTCAGTGTTGAAAGTAAGGAGAAGCAATATTCTCTGCTAATAATAGGATTTTTTAAAATTGAGATATCTTTTATTTGAGGTGATTTTTGTCAGTTGAATTTCTTCAAGAAGAATTGGAAATAGCACAGTATAGCTAGGGCAGATATTAAATATGTCTGTTGATTACTCTCTGAGACATTTGTTTTTGTATGGAAGGCAATTTACATGCCAGGCATGAATAGCTAGGGCAGATATTAAACATGTCTGTTGATTACTCTCTGAGACATTTGTTTTTGTGGAAGGCAATTTACCTGCCAGGCATGTTTTCCCAAGCTTTCTCAACTTCAGTAATGTTTTGTATTATGGACTAAAATGATGTCTTAATCAAAAGCTCTTCTTTTTGCTAGACCATTGGGAAGCATTGAACAATTGCCAGCTTGTTTACTTAAAAACATATGACAAACTGATATTAGTAAATGTTTTCTATTTGGTACTTCTTAAGAGCAAAGAGATCATACACATGATGGGAATATCTGTTTTCCAGGAAATACTGACACTTTCAGACCCCTAATAGGATGTTTTTTGTTTTACTGTTATTTCTTTGAAGTGGAAATTTCATGGAAAAAAGCGTGTTTGAGAAAAAGGAAAAACTTGAAATGTAGTAGGGCTTTCTAAACATCATGTTTTTGTGAAATAAATAAAAGCAGTGTGTGGTGGGAATATGTATGTTGTGTTCTATCCCAGCTTAACTTTCTTGTTAAAAAAAATAGGCAGGTGCAGTTGATACTTAATACTGACTAAAAATGTTTTCTAGATGTTACTGTCTCTTGTTTAATAAAACAATTTGACACTTCTACATCTTGAGCAATAATATGAATGTACACAATGTAGAAATTCAAGGGACAAGCTGCTTTCAGTATCCCAGGAAAACAGTTTAAAACAATACTGAGAAGCTGCTTCTTGAGTCATCACACCAAATATTTAGTGTCAAAACATAAAATTGTTTCATTGTAGTATTAGGGAGATGTTTGTTTAGCAGTGATAATGAGAGGGATGTGTGAAACCCCTGTTACAAATGGAAGGTTTTTTCTGTTGTTTTTTGTAGGTTAAAAGAGTTCTTGAAAAATTGTATGAGAACAAGAAAATTGCAAGTGCTACCCACAACATATATGCTTACAGGTGAGATACAAATAATGATTTTTATTTTTCTTTTTAGCGTTCTTTCACAAATGAGTGCAGGACATGAGAAAGAAGTTCCTTTCTATTGAATTCCTTGCTATTAAAAGAAATTCCTTGCTTTAGGGAGCAGGTTTCTTATTTGTATGGTTGGTGTTGCAGGTGTTATTTTGAATTTGAGGTCAAGAAAGTAGAACATGCAGTAGAAAATAAGACAGTGAAGCAGCATTAAGAATAGGGAAAAAAAAAAAGTGGATTTGACCATGTGTTGGTATACTTTTGTAGTCATGTAGTGTATACTTCCATGTCTGAGCATGGAAATGCTACATCATAAGAAAGTAGAACATGCAGTAGAAAATAAGACAGTGAAGCAGCATTAAGAATAGGGAAAAAAAAAAAGTGGATTTGACCATGTGTTGGTATACTTTTGTAGTATGTCTGAGCATGGAAATGCTACATCACCCTGAATGCGTTTTTATTTGGGTGAAGTAACTTCTTTTTCCCCCCAACCTTATATTTAGAAATAGCTGAAAATGTTCAGTTGAAATAAGAGTCGAATCAGAAAGCCTGATGCAGACATCTGGCATATGAAGTTTCAGCTGAAATACGAGAAACTTCAGGGATTATGAGAAACAGGTAAAAATGAGTTTGGCAGTCACCTGCCTCTGGCAACTTTAGTGAACATAGATTGTGTGAAATGAATTGGTCTCAGTCCATATAGCAGTGTAGGTTTTCTGAGGAATGTAAGTGACAATAAAAGGGAGGAATTGCAGGAACCAGTCATCTAAAAAAGCATGCACAGGTACTTATCCATTCATGCTCATCCTGCTGTGATCCTAATGAAACATGAAATGAGAGAAAGTGAAAGCTTATTTTACCAAAAACTACAAGCTTCTACCTAAGGAAAAAGTTTCTGTAAAGAGGGCATTTCTGTTCTCACAGATGATGATCTGGCTTCCTTCACTCAGATTATCCAAATCCACATGGAAAAAAAAAAAAAAAGGAACCAACACGTGTTTACTGCTTCCTCTTCATCATGTAGTACTAGAAGCATCTTTCTCATTATGTCACCTGTAACTAAGTTCAGAAGTTAGGAAATAAGTTGGTAACAAACCAACTTATTGGTCAGTAGACCTCTGAGCATGACTTAGGGAAAATTAGGCCTAAGCAGCTGCGTTTTTTATGAAAAAATGCACCCAAAAGTTTACTGCAGTGCCCCCTGAGGAAGGAGATGACATGGAGAATCCAAGGGCAAATTTCAGTGATAGTTTCATGTTGCTGCTGAAATAAAAAAAAAAAAAAAAAAAAAAGGAACCAACGCGGGTTTACTGCTTCCTCTTCATCATGTAGTACTAGAAGCATCTTTCTCATTATGTCACCTGTAACTAAGTTCAGAAGTTAGGAAATAAGTTGGTAACAAACCAACTTATTGGTCAGTAGACCTCTGAGCATGACTTAGGGAAAATTAGGCCTAAGCAGCTGCGTTTTTTATGAAAAAATGCACCCAAAAGTTTACTGCAGTGCCCCCTGAGGAAGGAGATGACATGGAGAATCCAAGGGCAAATTTCAGTGATAGTTTCATGTTGCTGCTGAAATACAGACATAATTACTAATAATATTTTTGTCCAAGTTCTTCTTCTAGGTTTATACCGTTATTTGAATCTGTATCTGGTAGAGTTGGTTCCAGCTAGGTGCAATTATTAGGCTAAAAACCTGGGTATATTTTTGTTTAGGGACTTTAAACTGGTAATGACTGGAGTTTACCTGAAGTAGCTAAAGTCTGTGTAAAAGTTTTTCAAAACTTGTTCTACTGTACAGATAAACATTTGTGGTTTACCCTATGCCTCATCCTGTTTTCATATAAATATGTGTAATAGAGAGAATTGATGCACACGTGTATGAAAGATAGGAGATTTTATTAATAATGTATAAATATTCATTGATTAACATTTTAAAATCTATTTTATGTTATTTTTTTTCTTTTGTAGAATATACTGTGAAGATAAGCAGACGTTCCTACAGGATTGTGAAGATGATGGAGAGACGGCAGCAGGTGGACGTCTTCTCCATCTTATGCAGGTTGTAGAAGTGAAACTTTGGCTTTTGGAAGTCTTGAATTTATATTGATTTTAAAAATCACTACAATGTAAATAAGCTTGTAGAAGATTATTTTGATTTTTGCTCTGCTAGCAGCCAGCCAGATCATTGCTTTCTCACAGTTAAAGGAGAAACACAGACTGTAGCACTTTCAAGTCTCAGACCATAGAAACAAGTGATGTTTCATAGGTGGCAGTAATAGTTTGAATGGGTTAAAAGATAACTAAGTTTTAAATGCTGTGCTTCCTGTGTGGTGTAAGGTACACAGAAGATAAATACTGGGAGAAGCTGACTGTCACAATAAAACAGCTGACCTGTGCACAACCTGTCATGTGGTTCCCTTGAGTAGGCGTAATAAAAAGACACCAATATATGAACTTGCAGAGTAGAACTTCAAATACAAAAGGAGTGGAGGAGCTAAGCTGTTATGATAATTTAGTCTGTTTTGTTGTGCTGTTTCCTTTTCTGGGCCCACAGCCCTCATACTCACATATATACTCACATATATTTTAGTCTTCAAGTATTGAAATAAGATTTGGCAAAGGTGCTGCCAAATGTGAGTGAGTCGAGATTGATAAATTTTGGTTCATGACGCAAGCCCTAGTAAAACTGTAATTAAAGTAGCACAACTATAGGAGACAGCTGTGTGCATATTAATGCTGTGCCTCAAGTCACTTAACTGTGTGAGCAGACAAAATATTTATTTTTGTTTTAGATTGATGTTCCCTTCACAACAGGAGTTTTATTTTCCTGCCCTTTTCTTGCTTTAATATTCTTTTGCTTAATATGTTGCACTCTTATTCCTGGAAACTTTTCTTCCCCCACCCATATTTTCTTTTTTTTTTTTTCTGAAAAAAGTAGTCGATGGAAACATTTTGACATTTTTAATTTCAAACTTTTTCAGAATTCTAAAATAACTCAAACCAGACTTGGGAAGGTTAAATAAATAAACAAACCTAGGTTATGTAATATATGCAAGTATATGTGCTAAGTGTGAAGACATTATTGTTATGAAAATAATATAAAGATACAATTTGGCAGTAACTGTACCTCATTTTGTTCTGAGATTATCAGCTTTTTCTCAGCATGTTAGTACACACTTTTGAAAGTTGTCTAGGCACTTAATAATCCATAAAAATCCAGTTTAGAACATGACATGAATGTCACTTTCAAATGTGAATGTGTGTAAATTGTAGGGATCATCATTCTCCATCTGTAATCCTAGTTACTGGGAATATTTCTGTTCTGGAAGAATAGCAAGATAAGGATAAGAAAAGTTCAATTTTCAACCATAGGAAAAGATTAAAATAGTTTATGGGCTGATTTCTGGATGTTCATAGATCTTGTAGATTTTTTGGTTTGAGTTCTTATGATGTATGGGTATGAAAATTAGGTAATTTAAAACATTTATTGTTGCTGAATTTATAGGGTTTTTTTGTTGTTGTTTTGGGAGTTTTTTGGTTTCGGGGTTTTTTTAATAGAAATTAATCTTGTTTCAGATAAGACCAGCATTTCAAAATAGCACTTTCTGGTTACAAGACACTGTATTTTAGATTAGTATCATCCTGTTTACTGTCAGGGGTTTTTTTTTGTTGTTGTTGTTTTGGGAGTTTTTTGGTTTTGGGGTTTTTTTAATAGAAATTAATATTGTTTCAGATAAGACATGCATTTCAAAATAGCACTTTCTGGTTACAAGACACTGTATTCTAGATTAGTATCATCCTGTTTACTGTCAGCAGTTGTTATACATAGACTTTATGGCCAATACATAAATGTAGAGTAGAAAATTCCTGTCACCGAACATGGCCCTAGTCCTTTTCATTTTAAAATTAAAATTTTTTCACAAACCATGACTGACTCTTCTAAGAGTATTATGCAAATTAGTCAGATATCTCTTTTTTTCTCCTTAACAGAGATGGTTAATGTTGTTAACATGCACATATTGACAGTACTACCTTATGGCATTTTATATATCCATGTGTATAATGCCTGTGGCCTGGCTGTTATTAGCCTTGTCCACCAACACTCCCAAAAATGTGAATAGACAATCAGCTTAGTGACAGAGTAATAATGGATCATACCAAAGAATAAGAAAGGTAACTGAGTAATTTTTTAAAATAAAAGATAGACCTTTTTTATGTTTCAAATTGGTGTCAGCAGTGAACCAGGTTCGCTTAAAATATAACAACTTTTATTGCTTTCTATTATTCACAGATTTTGAACGTCCACAATGTGTTAGTTGTGGTGTCCCGCTGGTATGGAGGTATCCTCTTGGGACCAGATCGTTTCAAGCATATAAACAATTGTGCAAGAAATGTACTTGTAGAGTACGACTATGTACCATCAACGGTATGTTTCATCCCTCCAGAGTGGAGGTATTTGCATGTGAACTTGTGTGACTTTCCACTGTTAGATGAAGCCAGAAGAAAAGTAATACAACCTGTGTGAATGGATAAACATGTCCAAATTTTCATAAATCTCTGTGAACTGTGAATGCTGTTCATATTAAAAATAATTCTCATGGGTAACCTTGGGAGAATACTTGTGGTTTACAAGAATATTTTTTAAATTTTGCAATGCATGTTTTTCATTTCAGGAAGAATCATCTAGACAAGCTGGAAAGAGCAAAAAGATAAAGAAGGAAAACAAAAAGAAAACAGAACACTAATTTATTTTTAAAAAACTTTAAAATACTATTTTGCACATATTTATACAAAAAAAAACCCTGGACCTTATTGCTTTATCTTTTATGGACATGTTGTATTCAGAAGAGAATTCAGTAAAGCCATTGATATATTTTCACCTTGTTTTGTGATTTCTTCTGCTGTTCTGAAGTAGAGCTTAGACACAAATTTTCTGTTTTCTGTTTCTTACACAAGTGAACTCCTTGTTATGAGGACACGTATAAGAAACAGAAATGTCCTGCAGCATCTGGAGCCATTGCTCCACCCCTTCCCACCAAACAACAGCTGACTAAATGAAAACATGTATTTCTCTTCCTTTCCATTCCTGGAGTCAAATACACGTCTTGTATTAGTAATTGAATTCTGTAGTTTGTTGTACTGAGAGTGGGGCTAGAGTCATTCATACACCAGGTCACTTACAGAGTTTTAGATACTCTTTTGTGAAAGCAAATCGTGGGTCTGAGTGTGGTGTTTGGAGTGCGTGGTGCTGCCTGTGCAGCTCCTGATCAGGTGCTAGACAGGGGCTGCTTGGTGACATATGGAAGGCTGAACGTGGGCAGTGAGCTAAGAAATGTGATGGAACTACTACGGAAGTTCTTTGAGGATTGTTCTGTGATGGTTGGCACGCCAGAAGCCTGTTGAAAAGATGAGAATTTGTGTTGCATAATTAAAGGAACCAGTGAAAGAGACCATACAGTCAGTGAGCAAGATGAATCCCCTGTCCTTTAAAATGTCTGAAAACGGACCAACAGGATGGAAATGCATTTTTATTTTCACACAGCTTCTTTCAAGAGAGAGCATGAAGTACTGTCTAACTGTCTTGTGGACATTTTTGGTTAGAGAAGTTACAGTCCCTTCCTATTTTTGTTTGCAAGCATTTCCTAAGTTTAAACTTCCTTTATTCTAGGAAGTAGATACAACATGAGAAATAAATTACAAAAATGTCTGACAACAACTCTTAACTTTAAAAATTATTCTGGGACATTATTTTTAATTTAAACTGAAGCAGCAGTTTTAACCATTTTTTGTTATCAAATACTGTAAGGTTTTTAAGACATCCTGCTCACTTGTGAAAGAGTTACAAATTTTATTACCTGGCAAATTAATTTATACCCAAAGTACAATTGCCTGTCATAAAAATATGTCAACAAAAAACCATAACATTACCAGGAAAGGGTGGATAGTGGCTTTTATCTTTTTGGCCACTCTGTTTTAATACCTTTTTACTTTCCTGGTTTTGTTTTGTTATTCTGAAAATGCATCAGGAGTACACCTGAACACAGATTAGCCATTACAGCACTAGAGTTTCCTACAAGGTAGTATCAGAATTTTTTTTTTCTTTGTGTCTCAAACCTAAATGAGCAGACTAAGATATCTGCTCTCTGATTGGGGTACTTCATTAGCTGAGTATCTTCTGAAGAACTGCTTGGTGGTTTCACTGTCAGTCATTTCCTCTAAATGTCCTGCATGCCTCTGGAAATCTTCCATGCTCAAATATGAAAACTCACGTTCTTAAAATCTTAACTTTTAAAAGTGAAGATAATTGTGCTTCTTACAGCAGCATACCAATTCTGGACTGTTAGTAATTTTTTCATATTGCAGGTAATTCAGGGTGGTGGTTCTACTGTTTAGTATGTGTTTAATGTGGGGGTAAAAAGGAAGATGAAGATGGGACATTAATTTGTGGATCCTTTTGCTGTATTCATCTTTGCTATGTGTTTATTGCCTAGCATGCAAGCTCTCATTCTCATTCAGGGAGTCTGCATTTAGTTGCTGGGTTCTGGGGAAACAGCAGCTGGTGATGTGTTGCTGAAGCTGCTGCTAAGATTTTTGAAACTGATTTCAGTGAGAGTTTTGAACTAATCTCAGGGCTGGACCATTACAGGTTAACTGCTCTGGTAAGTAACTGTATGTATACTTATTTACATCGTATCAGTTTTCAGCTCCGGAGTGTGCAAAAAGTCGACCATGACTTTTCTCAGCAAAAAGTATAAATACAGAGGGACCAACGTCTTGCTGAATTGTAACAATGTCAGATAAACAAGGATGAAATTAAAAAGTAGCTTAAATTCTCATTAGGATATGTACATAGGATGAAGAAAAAAAAAATTAGAAAAGTCATATATAGTTGTATATGCTTTGCTAGCAAGTAAAACACATCAGGAAGGGAGGGAGGGAAGCAAGAGGGAACCTCAAATCAACCCTCCTGACCTCCACAGATAAGGATCATGTTGCTTAAAGAAGAACTTGCATTTTAAAATACGAGCTTGAAAAAACTGCATATTTCTTAACCAGAACTCTGCTAGAGTTCTGCTTTAAGAGAATCTTAAGAAAACTAGATTTATCTAGTATTAAAAGCCTTTTATTTTTTTCCCTCCAGAGAAATTTTTTTTTGGATGCTTATTGGATTTTTGACCCATCCTATTTTAAATCCTTATGAATCTCAGCCTTTGGATAACCTTGCCAGAGAGAACTTCCTTCCCAGACTGACCTGACTGGATACCCACCATGCACAACAGCACCACTGAAATTCCACCCACGGCTGCGACGTGTAACGAGACTTGGCCCACCCAGTCTCCCAGCTCCGAGTTCTCCCTGGGTGTGTTGGTGCTGCTGGCTTTCCTCATGGTGTTGCTGTGTCTGGTGACCATCCTTGGAAACATGCTGGTGATCCTTGCTTTTGTTATGGACAGAAACCTCAGGCATCGGAGTAACTATTTCTTTCTGAATCTTGCTGTTTCTGACTTTGCAGTGGGTAAGTGAGAGCTGTGGAGCCATGTGCCAATTGTGTTGTAGGACTCTGAGGAGAAGCACTGATGTTTATTTTCCATGTGTTTTCTTCTGAGAGAACTGTTTCCCAGCTATGTCTGGGGGAAGGATGTGGAATGGTGGAAGCTGCATGAAGTGTTTTAGCAGCCTATTATTTTTCAGAAAATAAAGATTGTTTTGTTAGGTAAGCAGGTAATGTTTAATGTATCAAGATAAAATACTGCTGTGGGAATTTAATAGACTAACAAAGAGTGGGAGCTGTTTGTGAAGAGTTTTGGCTAAAATTTAGATAGTCTAATCAAATACAGCCTATATTGTCTGACAGCTCTTGTGTACACGGTCAATATCTTCTATTTCAGTTTACTATCACACAACACAGATCATCACCTCAGGTTTGTGACTAAATAGAGACGAATGCTATTTTTAATAATTTTGCTGTATATGCTCTATATAGAGTAATACCTTAGGGATATGTGTTTGTATAGGCAAATAAAAACTTACAAATAAAACAATTTCTAAGAAATTTGATGCTACATGTATATTTATACATAGGGACACATTTAGTTTTGAAACTTGTACTGAGAAAAAGTACAATTAAAACAGGAGTGTAATGTTCAGTTGGAGACTGGAGTATTGCAATATTCTGTGAAGCGTTGCATGTCTTTGCTAAAAGCCTTGGTGAAATTATTGAGTGGGTAGAAGGATGGTTCAGAATAGTTTTGGCTGTTTAACCAAATCTGCATTCTGACTTGCATATCACAACAATTTTTTTTTAAGTATCCATTTAAGAAGTATACTGAAAGGAGAGAATAAACTTGTCTTAATTTTTTTTTTTTTTGCCAGTGCCAGAAGTTCTTTCAGGGATGCAGCTTCTAATAGTCCCATCCTTGTGATGTCCATATCTCCTTGTATAATGTTTTGATACCTCCCTGCATATGCTTGATGTCTTCTTCCAGCTTATTTCTCCCTTGGTGTGCTGCAGAGCTCTTGCTGCCTGCTCTCCAGTTACAGTGCACTGGAAAAAAACAGCAGTGAGCATAAAACCAGTGGACAAACTGGTGTTCTCTCATCTGACTCACCATCTAGCATCATACTGAACAAACACCAGCATCTAGCTGAGAAATACAAAGTAAATAAAGTTCTCTGCCAAAGAAGGAAGTACTGCTTACTTGGTATTACCTACTTTCCATAATTTTTTGTGATATTATGTTTAACTGAATGTCTAGTTTTTAATTATAAATTCTGTTAAAAGCTTTGCCTTTGTCTTAGTTTGACTTTAGAGTCAAACTGATTTGTATTTTTGTAGCTATATAATTTAGATTCAGGATATGCCTAAATTATCCTTACTGCCTTCTTGATCTAAATTGCTAAAAGCTTTCAGAATCATTTGCTTATTCTTTTAACATATCTAATCTAGATGCTTGTGACATTCAGCAATTTTTGCTTTGTCTGTGTGCTTCAGTACCTATAGCTGGGTTTGAATAGAGATCTCTTGATTCTTAGTACAAGGAGAACAACAGGAATTGTAAGATTTTTATGGAAATGGAAACTCTCAAGATACTCTCTTACAGGAGTTCACACTATTAGGTAGTAAATCTGAAGTTGAAACCGAAGTTTTTTCCTGATATGAGTGTTAAAATCTCTAATGTTTTGCTCTAAAACATCCCAAGGCTGTGGTGTGATTCTATGTTGGGTGATCACCTCCAAATCCATTAAAATGAGGTAATATTGGTGCTTTCGCAACATTTGGATTTAGCAGCCTAAATTTAGGTAGCAATGGGTGTGAGTGGGTCACTCATGTGTTCCCACAGTCTGATGAGTTCCCATAGATAACATCCTATCAGCTTGCCCCTGAAAAGTGGTTATTATCAAGACTTAAGATAAGGAGAAAGGTTAGGCTGGGTGCATTTAATTAACTGTGCTGTTCTTGTCAGCCTTTTGATCATACAGTTTTTAAAATTAGTCTGAAACTCATATTTCTGTAAGAAGTTAACTTCTGGAACATTTTCTGACACGTATGCATCTAAGAGTATGGAAGCATGGCAATTGGATAATTTGTTGTAGAAAACACTGGATTATACTGGGGGAAAGATTTTTTTTTTTTTAATCTGCTATTTTAATTTCAGCAGATAAAACAGAAGAATGTTTACTTCAGTAGGTAGAGCAGTCAACTGCTCCTTCTTTTAGCAAGTGGAGAGGTAACAATGATACATAATAAACATGATACACCTTTCAGAGAGGTATTAATTATAAGAACGTTACTAGTACCTAGTTTGTAGTAAAGGTTCTTTGGTTGCAGGATAATACAAAGCCATCTATGTGGCAATTCCAGCCAGTTTTGTTCAATCTTGTATGCAGAAATACTCCTTTGCTCTCATGCAGTGCAGTGCTGACTGATGTATGTGCATTTGGTTTCTTTCCACAGGTGTGTTCTGTATGCCGTTGTACATCCCTTATGCCCTGACAGGGACATGGCACTTGGGAAGGAGCCTGTGCAAGCTCTGGCTGGTCATGGACTATCTCGTGTGCACAGCTTCAGTGTTTAACATCGTCCTTATCAGCTACGACCGTTTCCTGTCAGTTACAAAAGCTGTAAGGCTAACATTTCTATTTATTGCTTTATATATGTTGGGATTTCTATAAAACTCAGAATGTTTCACAGTTAACACTTTAAGCTGAATGGTGTTTTGTTATGGGTACCATTTTTTAATAGAGAAATTATGATGCTTCAATGTTGCATTAGGATTTAGGAGATTGCCTTGCCTGTGATTTCAATGTTACCCTCGTGCCACCTGCACCAGAAGTTATTTAATTACTCTACACAGGAGATGGGAAGGTGCAGGTGGGAAAGAAACAGCAGGCATGTGGAGAACTTGGGCTTTGGCCTTTAGAAGAGTTGGTGGTGATGAAAACTAGGTTGAGTCAAGGATGTGCTTAGACTTGGATAAATTAGGTAAGAAGAGCATTTGGAGAGACAGTGAGATGGACTGAGTGAAGATCAGATGAGGATATGAATTACTGCAGGGGGTGATTGACATGTGCTGACAATGAGCATTTGCATGGAAACTGATCTCTTGAAGCAAAAAGAGGAATGAATCAAAATGTGTGGAGAGGTAAGAGATGTTTCTTGAGTGTTGTGATTCTTCTGTTTCAGAAGATATCCAAGGAATCAAGTAAGAAATATTATCATTCATCATTTCTAAGCTCTACTTGGTGTTCGATCCTAGAATCTGAGAATGGTTTGGAAGAGACCTTAAAGATCATCTGGTTCCAACCCCCTGCCATGGGCAAGGACACCTTCCACTAGACCAGGTTGCTCAGAGCCCCATCCAACCTGGCCTTGAACACTTCCGGGGGTCAGGCATCCACAACGTCTCTGGTCAACCTGTTTCAGTGCCTCACCATCCTCACAGTAAAGAATTTCTTTCTAACATCTGATATAAACCTACTCTCTTTCAGTTTAAAGCCATTGCCCCTTGTCCTGTTTCTGCTTGCCCTTTGGATCCTGTCACCCCAAAGGCAGTCAGGTCACCCCAAAGCCTTCTCTTCTCCAGGCTGATGAGCCTGCTTGCTTGAATGACATCTTTAATATTAGACTGGGAGATTCTCATTTGGGAGGTGCTGATACAATGCCTAATCACTTTCTGTTTTCTTTCCTAGTGGTGTGGTTTTTACAGTTGTTTTTTGCTAGTGTTTTGGATTTTTTGATTTTTTTTTAAGCTGAAGAGTAAAGTATAAGAATCCCTGTGTTTAAGACATTAATGAAGCTGCAGATCTCAGATTAAGAATTATGTAAATTAAAAGGGCCTCTGTAACCTAGCTGAGATCCATGATCTTGTGCCATTGCTGATGGTCTTCATTTACATGATCACATTCTGGTTTTCTTCTTTAGGGCAATAGGATGGAGTGAGTCTAGGAATGTGTAACAGGGCTGTTAACTGTGCTTCCTCAGAGACTTGGGATCCACCTCTGCCTCTGCTGCAAAGCTAGCCTGTGTCCAGGTGCTAGTCACTCCAGACATAACAATTTGTGAAGCTGTGCCCAGCTTCCAGTTTTCTGCCTCTAAATTGAGCTGCTCATCTTGCACAGATAGCAAATTCATTACTGCACATCTGGAGCTGTGCAATGAGCTAATGTGATGCTTTAAGACATAGAGGAGTCTGAATCTTCAGATTCAGAACAGATTCAGATTTAAAACAGTGAATCCAAACCAATGTGCATATCCCTGAACTACTGCTCTGATACTTGCTGGTGAAATAGGGACAATGCCCTTTGTGTGCTGCGTGGCTGTGAAGGTGCCATTCATTATTACTTGTGTATCATGCAGGTGCTCTGCTAATGAACAGTATAGGAAGCTGATAAGGAAGGCAGCAGTTTTGAGGAAAGCCTGAGATGCCAAATGTTGAATAGTATAGAGGAAATAAAATTGTCCAACTCTTCATTAATTTATCTTCTTGTGCTTTGAAAGATGTAGGGGACCAAGGTATGGCTGGGCTACTACAGGGTGGGCTTAGCTCTTGTATTTCCTAACCCTGGATGATTTTATTTTAATTCTTAATATGCTGTCTGGGTAGACATAAAAACATCAAGATATTCAGTAGTGGAATTAACTGTTTGCAAGGTAAGGCTAACATTAAAATAGAGTGAGTCAGTGAGGCAGGGGGTGTTATAGTACATGTCTGGGTTAGATTTTTCTGCTATGGCAAGAGGAAACAGTATGAAAAATGATATTGTCTGGTGTTTGCAGTCTCACATGGCAACCTGTCTAGTATAGAAGGTTTCTACTTTTGCTGGGCATGTAGGAACTCCCACAGCTGCTTTCACTCTCTGCTGAGCCTGGGCTGATGAATCACAAACCTATTTCTTACCAATTCCTTATTGCTACTTTACTGTGTCGTGGAAACAAGCAATATCGTTTCATACCTGGAAGCCGAATGATAATTTAGCCATCATAATTTCTGCTCCTCTCCTATGTCCAGTATTGAAATAAATCACAGAGCTGCAATGTAAGGAGAACAAGACTAGCAGTTTTTCAGAACCTTACATAATGAAGATGTTCTAAGTGACTGGAGAAATACAGAACAAATACTGTATTTGGCTTGATTACATATGTTTTTTTGACATAATTTCCCCCAAAATGTTCTCTGAATATGTGACATGTCCTTTTTCCCTTGCAGGTATCTTACAGAGCTCAGCAGGGAATAATGTCCAGCTCTGCCATCAAGATGGTGGCCATCTGGGTCTTGGCATTCCTCCTGTACTGCCCAGCCATCCTGTTTTGGGAGCACATGGCCGGACACAGCGTGGTAGCAGTGGATCAGTGCTACGCTGAGTTCTTCAACAACTGGTACTTCCTGCTGTGTGCATCCACCCTGGAGTTCTTTGTGCCGCTGCTCTTGGTGACCTACTTCAACGTGCACATCTTGCACAGCATCCAGCGGCGCCAGCGGCGTGGCAGCGTGCAGGACTGTGAGCCTCCCAGGAGCAGCAGCCTGTCCTGGAGGTTCTGTGGCTTGCCGAGGCCAGGGGCATCATCTCCTTCGTCAGAAGCAGAGGACAGTGTTTCATCACTAACGAGGTCATGGAGACCGGCAGTGGTGGCTAATGGCCCATCTCGAAGAGAATCCAGTTCTACGGCTCTCAAAAGGAACTTTTCTGCTTCTTTCTCTTCAGGGTCTGGATCAAAACTTCAACGGGACAAGAAAATAGCGAAGTCTCTTGCCATAATTGTCTGTGTGTTTGCCATTTGCTGGGCCCCATATTCTTTATTAATGATTATCCGTGGGGCCTGCCAAGGAAAGTGCATCCATAACTCCCTCTATGAAGCAACCTTTTGGCTTTTGTGGATCAATTCCTCTTTGAACCCATTTCTTTATCCTCTCTGTCATATGAGGTTTCGAATGGCTTTTTTGAAGATATTATGTCCCAAAAAGTTTTCAACATTGAGATCTGGTAGCACGCCTTCTGTTTAGAGAGGTAAAGAAATGTCTTACAGATAAGGTTCCTCTCTTATTTAGTGATACCTTTTCATACGTATCGTTGGCATGAATAGAGAAAAAACCCATTTGTTTACTAATGACATTGTTTAAGAGTGCAGCAGAGTTATGTAATTGCCCTGATATTGCTAATTTTCTGGATCTCATTTTTGGTTTTGCTGATATGATGCTAGATTATTTACCGTGTACTGCAATGAAAAGAGCAATAAGCTTTGCTAGATGTCCTCTTGGTTTGTGAGTGTGAGGAATATTTTTTTCTTTCTCTTTTTTTTTCTTTTCTTTGTTTAATATATAGAGCTGGCACTGCTCTCCTATCTCCACAGAGAGTCACTGGAGGGAGATACCTGCTCATGTATGTGTTGAATTAAAATTTATGTTATATTTATGAATCTAAAGTTATCAGTGAAGAAGCAATACTGCTACATTTTTAAAAGATTGTAAAAATATTCACAGAAGCAGTATATTTTCATTTCATAAACTATTATGAAGACAGGAGCATGCCCTCTCCTTTTTATAATCCCCACAGTGAGCAATATGCAAGTGGATGGACTGCCTAACCTGCCATATCTGTCCTTTTCGAGTTTTAATATAGCTCATACCTGGCATTGCAGGACAAAGTACATGTAAGTTAGTAATTCTGAATGATTCTCAGAGAATGAAATTTTCCATGCTATGAAACTTTTGAGATGGTTATCAAGAGTGTCAGACATAAATGGTTGTTAGTCTTTTCACCCATACTGTTTTTTCACATGACAGTGGCTGTCTCTTTGGTCATGCTTAAATGATATTTAGTGCCAGATCTGTGCACTATGTTATTGCCTAAAAGATAGGCCAGGCTGGGGCACGTGATCACATTCCTGTTGAATTAGCAGAGCAAGCAATGCTAACTTCATGCTGGATTTATAATTTTGGCTGGCTGTGCGAGAAGAGACAATAGCCTCTCTGGTGTAAAGCTTTGCAAGTGCAAAGATATTCCATCAAAATGTCTGGAACAAATTTGATCTGACAGAGTGATTTTTATACTAGATCAGTGCTTTGTGTCCTGTTACTGTGACATTATATGGATTTTCTCTGCCACAGAACAAATATCAAACTCGATTTTTTCAATTAGGGAGCAAGGGCCATATTCACTGCTTGAGAATGAGGTTTTCAGAAGTCTGGAAGCTGATACAGAGATGTCTTAAGCAGCTCTTAAGAAACAAAGCAGTTGAACGTCCAGTGCTGAAAGGAGTGAGTAGATGTCTTGGAGGAAGCAATGGAGCTTGATTACACCCCATTCCATGTGCCAAACTTTCTTACCATGTGTTGAGTGTTGCAACTCACCCAGAAGGCTTTCATGGATGGGTAAGTGAGAGTCACTGGCTACATTTTTTTCTCTCCTTTTGTGTAATTTTATTCCTCTTTGTTTATAAATATAATAATGTATGAAATATGGAAAGAAAAATCTGATGCACAGAACAATGAAGCACAGTAGTCAATTTAAATAGTTTTTAATCTAATTTGAAATTAGTTGTAGAAGTGTTGCCATAACAGAGTACTCCTTTGCAAGCACAATTCAGATGCATGGAAGCATCCTAATTATAGCACAAAAGTTGATGGCTTTGAAGAGCTAGAATGTCTTTCTGTTCAGAGGTCTGGAACTGAAGACTTCTCTTGCCAGTTTTAACACTTCTGGAAGATTATCTTTCACCATTCATTCTTGCTATGCTTCCTCGCCTCACTGGGTACTGTTAGGGATTGTGAGCCTAATTGCAAAGAGAGATGCAGCTTCAGGAGGAGGTCATTGATTCAGCACAGCTGTTTTTGCTGTCATGAGTTGTGGTGCTGGCATAGATTTTGTTTGGGGTTTGTTTTTCTGTGAAGCTTAAAAAAATCTAAACACACACAGGGTGTTAAAACATTTATAGAATAGCTGGTGTACTAAACATCTCTTAAAAAGAGAAACTGAAGATAGGCCCAAGATAGAAATGTATTTGTCTGCTTTTCTATCCCTATACTTTCAGTATAAAAATTCAGTTTGCATTTTGTGCTTAAAGAATGTATTGTTCATTTTGGAAAAATAACCTAAAAATTATTGACTAGATGAGCTGAGTCCACATTTTGCAGTGCTGAAAAACTAGTTAGTCAGGGAACTTGCCAGGCAGCACAATCTGCAGCAAATTTGAAACAACATAGCATGCTGAAGCTACTAGAGATAATTTTTTTAGAGTCTGTTTTACCCACACACTGTTCAAACTGTTTTCTCACACCACTGCTGTGTATTAGATGAATTTGTTGTTGAAAATTTTGCTTAGTGCTCCCAGGGTAAGTCAAGCACTGGGTTGCTGTGCCCACAGCTTTCAAGCTGTCTTGGTCAGGGTGGCATCATAAATATTCTCCCTTGTAAATCACACATCAGATGTTTTTCAGGGTTATGGTAAGATACTTATTCAGCATTTGTTTTATGCCTCGACTCAAATGGATGTTTTTTGACAAAGGCTCTTCTAACCCAGGTCTCTCTAACCAGTCACTCATCCATTTCACTATTTCATGTCCTTGAATTTTCTTCTGTCTTTGCTGATGTTCAGTAGGCCTTCTAAATACATGGTGACAGCAGCTATATGACTTTGTGGGCTTCAACTCAAACCACACCAGTTTTTTTCTAATCTGACCCTCTCAGATTTAAAAAAAAACCAACAAACCGCTCAAGAAATAAAAGTACATGTTGGAAGAAATTGTGTTATCTTCTTTTTGTTTATTTCTGAAACAAATATTGAACCCTAATGATTCTCCTAACATCCATGTGCTTTATTTTCCAAAGGAAATACCACAGTTTTCCCCAAGTGCCACACAGAACTATGATTAAAACTTCAACATTTGATTTATTCCCTAATAATAAAAGCAAATGACTACATTCCCCTTGTCCACTAATCCATAATTTTATTAAAGAAGACAACCAAGTTGCTCAGACATGATTTAGCATTGGTAAGTCCATGCTGACTGTTCCCAGCCACCTTGTCCTCCCCCAGGTCCTCAGAAACACCTTCCAAGGGGCCTCACTCCATTATTTTCTCAAGGAGTAAAGACAATCTGTCCTTTTTTTCCTTGTAGCAGCATTTGAAGATCATTGCAACATTTGCCTTTCTTCAATTGTTGGGAATCTCCCTTTGGAGATGGTCTCCACGACCATTCTAAGAGGATAGAAAGTGGCCTTGCAAAGGTGGTAGCTGGTTCTCTTGATAGCACAGTGGGTTCAATGGACTTTTATGGGTCAAGTCCCCTCAAGTAATCCTGCTTTATTCTCACCTGCTCTTGACAGTTCTCATCCTTGAACTCATTCACTAAGCATAGATGAAAGGGAGACCTAGTTAATGAGGAATGAAGCTAAGAAAGCACTGGTTACCTCAGCCTTATCTGCACCTGATGTCACTGGATTATTGATCCCCTCCAGCATACTACCCATATATATATATATATTTTTTTTTTTTTTTTTTACCATTTTGCTGTTAATGGAGTGGCTGAAGTTCTTCATGTTGTCCTTGATGTCCTTTACAAACATCAGCTATAGGTGAGTTTTTGTTTTCCTAACATCATTCTTATGTTGCCAGGCAACATTTCTAAATATCTCCTTTGTGTTCTGTCCCTCCTTCAAACACCTTCGTGTTCCCTTTTTGCATTGTGGTCTCCAGGGTTAGCCACTGTCATGATGCATCTGCTTGTTTTCTTGACAGCAGGGACGGACTATTCTTGTGCATGGAGATTGCTGTCCTTAGAGGCCTTCAGCTTCCTGGAGCTCCTTGTCTTTTGGATTTGTCTCCCATGGGATTCCCACTACTAATTCCTAAACAGAAGTCTGCTCGCCTGATGCCCATGGCCTCCACTGCTGCTGTCCTTCCTCATCCCCTTTAAGATCCTGAGTTCCACTACCTCATCATCACTACATCTGTGTCTGGCACTGATAGCACATTCCCACACAGCTCCTCTTTACCACTGAACAGGTGATTCAGCTGTGCATCACCCCCATTAGCCCAGGCAGGACTTGTATCTGAAAGTTCCCCCTGACAGCCTCCAGGAACCTTGTTCATTGCTAGCACCTGATGTGTTGCACTTCCAGCAGATGCCATGAATGCTAAAGTCCTACATAAGAAGCAGGTTCTGTGGTCCAGAAGCTTCCTTGAATTGCTTAAAGAGCCTTAATCACCTCCCTCACCCTGAGCTCTGCAATGTGCTCTCACCCTAATGTCACCCATGGCAAGTGTGGCTTGGTGACTGCACTCCAGTACTTCCTCTATGCTTCCCAGGCTGCAGCTGTGCACACACATCTAAGGCAGCCATGTCTCATTGCCATGTTTTGCCATTCCTGAGGTCTCTTCTGTTTCTGTCATCCTTACATCTTTTGCTTTAATGACTCTTTAGAACACAATTCCCTTTGTTCATCAATATGGTAGCAGAGCACTGCATCTTTCCTCCCCACATCTTACCCACGCTCTCTTTCTTTGTTTTTTGCTCTACATCTTCCCTGTACCTGGCATTATGGTTGCAGTTTGAAATGCTGGTCACTGGGTGTGCCATGGTGCTGTAGAGTCAGTGAGTGTCAGCCACAGCCACGGCCTACCAAATTCTGTGCACTACCCATCAAAATAAATGGAGTTGGGCTGAGGAAGGGATATCTTTTCTCACACCTGAAAAGAGCTAAAGGCTTGGTAATTCATGGAGTAAAAGCTTATCTAGGATTCCTTGTCAGGGCAGGATTAGATGGCCCACACCATAAAGACCTCTGAAGTCCAAGTATTTGGTTTGTTCTGCCCAGAATTTCTGGTTAGGGTGAGCTGAAGAGGTATTGGTGATGCTTCTGCTGCAGGGAACTGTATTACAAATGCTCTGTAACCAGAAACACTAAGAAATATCTCTCTGTTATTTACTGTAAAATTTAAAAAGTGACATAGAAGCAAGTGTGAAAATGTTTACGTTTTACTGTAAGGGAAATAGAATTGTAATAATTTTAATCCTGTTCACCGCTGTGGAGATGAAAATGAGATATGGTTTTAACTTCAGCACAATTTGATGTGCAAAACCACACACACATTGCTAATACGTAAACTGCTTGACTGTGAAAAGAATTATCTTCAGACAAGCTTTTTTGACATTAGTAGATAAGGATCCATGTCCAGGAAGGACACTGATTATGAAGTGTCATTTCTAAGGCCAATACCTATCATCCAATACCTATTGGAATTCAGATCAAGAAATGTCAGAGAGCCCACGTTTTGAAGTCTAGTGTTCAATTTTTTTTATATTGTGAATATTTTCTTTTTATATTTCAGTATTCAGCCCAGCCTGTTAATAATCTTGTCTCAACCTTTTGGATAACTTTGCCAGATAGAACTTCCTTCCCAGACTGACCTGACTGGATACCCACCATGCACAACAGCACCACTGAAATTCCACCCACGGCTGCGACGTGTAACGAGACTTGGCCCACCCAGTCGCCCAGCTCCGAGTTCTCCCTGGGTGTGTTGGTGCTGCTGGCTTTCCTCATGGTGTTGCTGTGTCTGGTGACCATCCTTGGAAACATGCTGGTGATCCTTGCTTTTGTTATGGACAGAAACCTCAGGCATCGGAGTAACTATTTCTTTCTGAATCTTGCTGTTTCTGACTTTGCAGTGGGTAAGTGAGAGCTGTGGAGCCATGTGCTACTTGTGTTGTAGGACTCTGAGGAGAAGCACTGCTGTTTGTTTTCTGTGTGTTTTCGTCTGAGAGAACTGTTTCCCAGCTATGTCTGGGGGAAGGATGTGGAATGGTGGAAGCTGCATGAAGTGTTTTAATAGACCAATATGTCTCAAAATATGTTAAAATGAGAAATGCATTCTTTTTCATATAAATACTTTTAATGTTGCTTCAAAAAAAAGGAGTGACTATTATATGTGGATGCTTCTGAGGTTGTTTGCTGCAGTTTTTGATTTACCCTTGCCTCTCCAAATGTAAGGTATTCATCACACACTTCAGAACAGCTTATATTTGACAGCTATGTGTGATACATCCAGGTAAAGGAATTACTTCTCTACATAGTAGTAATGGTTTATGAATACATTACACTACAGTAAGACACTTTATCACCAGGACTTTCTACTGGCTTCAGCTTAACTCAGGCTATTGATCTGATGAGTTGTTTGATACCAGTTTGACACCCTGCTAGCATCCCTCATCTATATTCCTGGTTGGTCCCCTCTTCCCACAGCGACACTGCAGAACTCCAGAAGAGTTTGTTGCTGGAGATTCCATGGATCCAGTCCTGGCTGGTGATGCCAAGTGAGGTGATGGTGGAGTAAATGCCTTTTGCAGCATTCCTCCATGGCTGAAGCCAGGCAAACAGCCCATGCAGCAGAGAGAGCCTGACAAAACCACAGTCCTGTGGCAGATGTGCCAGCAAATGTCTTGCCTTGAGGCTGGCAAGGATGTACTTCTGCACAGAAAGGCTTTCTCTTCAGGATGGTCACAGAGACCAGCATTCACTGAACTGTGAGAAAGGAAATCATGGCCACAGACCTACTGTACTTCTGACAAAACCATCCCCCCAAATGCTGTTCCTTTGTCAGTGCTGTCTAGTGAAGTGTATTAGTTTAGCCTTTAAAGTTTTCCTTCATTTATACCATTTATGACATGTTTTGCCTTATTCTGGGACTTACCCCATGGAACAGAAAACGATGCATATGATGAAGCCTTTGCTTTCCTGCTAAGGCAGACAATTTGCTGGAGCTGCTATTTCATTGCTCAGGTCTTCTGCAAAAGTCTGTTTCTCCTCATATCTCATAGTTTAGTCAAAAAAGTTAAATATCTACCTTCTGCATCCGTTCTTTGTGGCTGGTGCCTCATGCATTCTTAAATCAGCCAGGAGGAAATGATTGCCATCAGTATTAGATTTGCCTATACAGACTGTAAATCTAAGATTTTGTCTCTGATTTTGGTCAGGAAATACTTTATTTTCTGAATTTGCTGTGGAGTTGGTTTTTTTAAAATTTATTAAATGTCTGGAATATTTACAGGGATGTGACTCATGTCTTTTGTGTGTACCAATTAGTAAAAGTAAGAATAGCTTCAAATATCAATGTTTAAAACCTGGGGTTTACCTCTGTATTTATATGTATAGCTCAAAGCAGTCATTATTTTTTGACATGGTGGCAAACATTGATCCCATTGAAGTCCATGAGAACAGTAGCTGTTATCAGCAACCATGAAAAATGAGTATTTAGTACCAAGCGATGCTGCTTGTATTTAAGGAATATGTTAAATTAAGCCATCAGTATGGAAAGCACTGTGAGCAGTTCCTGGTTGGCAACAGTCTGGCAGCTCTTTGCCCAGGGTTTTGTTGTCAGTGGACCACATCACCCTGGATATGTTTAGTAACTTCTAAGATCTTGATGGACTTATCAAGAAGGGAATAATCTGGAGAGTTTTAAATGGATCTTGATGCAACATATAATTTTCTATTTGTCTCTGGTAGATCAGCACTTTCAGGAATGTAGAATCAGCTATTGCACCACACTTCTGAAATGAGATTAGTGTTAAAATGAACATCGCCTGCTTAAAAATAGAAAAAACCCCATGATTTTCTTAATTAAGTACTTCAGTGGAAGGTCTTTTGGACAAAACACAAATTTAACAAACCAAAATAGTTCTGGAGTTATTCTCATAACATTCTTCAGAGAAGAAGCATGGCATTAAAACACTTCTTAAAAAATGATAGTTTCATACTTCTGCTGTGTCTGCTCTATCTCTGGTAGAACACCACACAGACTGCCCAATATATTGTCTTCAGTTTACAAATGCTAACCAATTTTACAGGAATAACTGCCATTGGCAACACCTGCAGATGTGTTTGAGGGAAAATTCTAATACAAATGAAAGAATAGAGAAAATAAAATGATGAGGTTACTTATCAGAATGCAACCACAGCGCATATATGCTACAGCACTAATTTTATACCTTTAGAGAGTCTAAGTTGGCTAGACTTGTATTTTCTTCAGAAAATCCTTTGCTGAATTGCTTTTGGCTTATTCTCAACAATCAGCATACATAAATCACACTAAGATCTAAGACACAGAAAGTCACCATCAGATTTCATGAGAATTTAGGAACTTGTGTATATAAATTACATATTCATCTTAATAGATTTGTTGATTTTTTTTTTACCTAAATGCCAAAACAGTGTGTCTCTCTGCTTCCAGGAATTTGCAGTCCCTATGAACCTCATGGTGTCTTTCTGGTTGCTTTCTGCAGGTGTGTTCTGTATGCCCCTGTACATCCCTTACAGCCTGACAGGAAAATGGCACTTGGGAAGAGGAATCTGCAAGCTCTGGCTGGTCATGGACTATCTCCTCTGCACAGCTTCAGTGTTTAACATTGTTCTTATCAGCTATGACCGTTTCCTGTCAGTTACTAAAGCTGTAAGTAACTTGTTTAGAGCTTCTCTGATTTTTTTCCTTGGATAGTTATATTTACCAACCTTTGCCATGTTGATGAGTATAAGTCCAAATTTAATGAAGATAATACCCCTCAAAAATATACTGGCATGTGGTGATTATTAGATATTTTGCAGCCAGATGGGGTGAATATTCTACACTGGGCATGCTTAACTGCAGAGCCAGTCAACCAGGAGTTTTCTCACAATTTCTTCTGCAAGCTGCTGTCATGTTACTGCCTGAGGAAAAGCAGTCTAGAGGGTAAAAAGGGTAAGGCAGCAGATTGGTAAAAAAGGGGCAGGGAAAGAGGAAATTCAGAGTAAACTGGATTTGGGTTTGGACCTAAAATCAGGTGTGAAAGTAAATTACAGTGAAGCTAGGGCAGTAAAATCAGGGACAATGGGGAGGTTGTCTAGACCTGAGATGTGGTCAAAAATGATTCTGGATAAGACTGGGAGCAAGAGCAGACAGGCAGAAAGTGGAACAAAAGGCAATGACTGCAATCATTGCCTATAGACATGCATCAATAAACTCCTCTTTGTGTCTGGACCAGAACCCCAAAATTCAGACACATTCTGTCTCTGCTTTCTGCAGAGAATTCTACACACCTGGTGTGAGCTTTGTGTCTTGGACCATGCTAGGATGGAGGCCAGCATTTTTCACCAGCCACACTGTTAGCTCAGGTGGCAGGGAATGTCACAGGGAACTAAAGGTTCCAGCTCTTTTGTGTGCATGAGACAGTCAACATAACTTCATGGAATAGAATTTCAGTCTTATTTGTAGTAATTAATTTAACTTCCTATAACTGCCTTCTTAATACATTTTATTATTTTATTTTATTTAAGGAAAAAATCTTGGAAACCAAAGACCAAAATGTTTGGTGTATAAGAAACCTTATGCTGGAAAGCCAAAGACTCAGCGTTTATAGATTGCAAAATTCAGAGCACCTATACAAATGCAATTAAGACCTATGGACATTTGTAATATAGTTTTAGTGACATTAACTCAAATTTTTATTATCGATTGGATGTCTCAGCTTGCAGAATTACACATTCATTGTGTGAAAGGGATGTGAGCTACTATATCTGTTCTGCAACATATAGTAGAAAATATGTACTGGCCCTGGAGTGCATGTAGAAGGGAGAGAATGGGTGATTTTTTTTTAGTTTCATCAGCTGTGGTGCAGGTGTGGTATCTATTCCTTCATCGTCATAAATTGTCTAGTAAGTAATTTTCTTATAGGTTAAATCTATGTGCCACCTTTTCTGTCGAGAACCATGATGCATATAGTTATTTGTTTGTAAAATGCTGTATAAAGCAGTGCAGTTTCCAGTGTGTGGGAGTGAAGCTCCCAACAGCTACAAAGTGCTAATTCCTCTGTCACTTCAGACCTAGGTATCTCAAACAAGGCACACCGAATTACTGGGTACTGGTGGATGATTGTGTTTCATGCCCTGGACCTGGACCATGGTACAATGACATTACTTTGTAGAGAGACAGCCCTATGCTCTGTCAGCATCAATGAAATAAACTTGGGTGAGCTTCAGCTGATCAGCACAGCCACATCTCTGTATTACTAAGCACCTCTTGAGTTTGTCTCCAGCTGCTTCTTTAGGTCCCAAAATGGGTCTCTACAAGTCTGAACATTAAATATGTTTTTTTCCCTCGCAGGTATCTTACAGAGCTCAGCAGGGAATAACATCCAACCCTGCCATCAAGATGGTGGCCATCTGGGTCTTAGCATTCCTCCTGTACTGCCCAGCCATCCTGTTTTGGGAGCACGTGGCCGGACACAGCGTGGTAGCAGTGGATCAGTGCTACGCTGAGTTCTTCAACAACTGGTACTTCCTGCTGTGTGCATCCACCCTGGAGTTCTTTGTGCCGCTGCTCTTGGTGACCTACTTCAACGTGCACATCTTGCACAGCATCCAGCGGCGCCAGCGGCGCGGCAGCGTGCAGGACTGTGAGCCTCCCAGGAGCAGCAGCCTGTCCTGGAGGTTCTGTGGCTTGCCAAGGCCAGGAGCATCATCTCCTTCATCAGAAGCAGAGGACAGTGTTTCTTCTTCCATGAGACCAACGAAAGAGTCTTTGGGAATTGACTGCTCATCTCCATCCAGAGACAATTCTGTAACCCCAGAAAATGACTTTTCTGTTTCCTGCTGTGCAAAGACCAGATCAAAACTGCAGCGGGACAAGAAAATAGCGAAGTCTCTTGCCATAATTGTCTGTGTGTTTGCCATTTGCTGGGCCCCATACTCTTTATTAATGATTATCCGTGGGCCCTGCCAGGGAACTTGTGTCCATAACTTCCTGTATGAAGCAACCTTTTGGCTTTTGTGGATCAATTCCTCTTTGAACCCATTTCTTTACCCTCTCTGCCATGTTAAATTTCGAATGGCTTTTCTGAAAATATTATGTCACAAAAAGTTTGCAACACTGAGGTCAGGTTCTTTTTAGAAGGAAGAAGAAAAATTAGGTTCAAGAGGAGCTGGATGAGGGATGTAAGTAGGCACTGTTTGAAATTAGATTTAGTCTTTTCCAGGAGATTAAACTAGTTGCAAAATTCTAAATAAGCCTTCTGTGAAATATCCGCCTGCAGGCAAATGTGCATGACCAAGATTTGTGTACTTTTTCCAGATGTTTGAATTGGTAATTTAAAGGCTATTGCCTCTGTCTGACTTTTCAGAGTAGTCTATCCAAATTATCTTAATTCTGATTGTAATTGAAAATGTTGTCTTCAGTTGAAGTACCTCATATATTTGTGTTCACAGGTGACATTAGTTAAAAATACAATAAAGTTGTATATTACCCATAGGGTCAATAGTATTCTAAAGTTGCTATCTTCTCTCTTCTACTTCTTTTGAACAATTTGCATTTAGAACCTGATTTTTTGCCTATATGAAACATTGAATGAAGTTATTATTTTTGTTGCCAGGTATATAGCAGAATTACTTCCTTTCACAAAAGGTTTTTGGCCATCAGAAGCAAATAGGAACTACTTTCAAAAACTTGGATGTATGTGTTCACTGCAGAAGGGCATTGCTCACTATATTTGCTCAGATGCAGCAGTAGAGAATTCAGGTGTGCAAAGCATTTATGTGGATGTCCAGCTATTCTGCAAAAAACCAGCCTTCTTCAGATGTAGTTTTGAGAGATCATAGAAAGAGAAGTATTTGTACTTACCCCTTGTGGGGGAAAATCCAGTTCTGTTTCTGTTACAAGTCCTCAGCTGGAGGCTGTGATAAATGGTATATTTCTTACACACTGTGTAAGGCTGTGTTTGTTTTTCTGCATGAGCCAGGAAAATGGCTGTCCTAGATGGCTGCCTGTAGTATGTGTGGTGAGAACTGAGAGAGCTTGGATGTGAACTTCTTTCAGTACACACTTTCCGTACTGTAAAGGATTATTTACTTTCATGGCTCTGGAATTACCAGGTATTAACTCCCTTACTAAATAAACAGGTGTAACTTTAAAATGTAAACAATTTATTTTCATCACACAGTCAGTAAGTATAAGGCTAGGAAATAAATGGAAGAATGAAAACTAAAGAAATGTGAGAGGTATTTGGCGTCCATTTTATCTTCTATTTTTTTTTTTTTTTGGTGTATATTCATATATGATATTAGTGTGTTTTACTTAACAATCTTCTGAATGTTCTTCTAGGCTGAACTACCATTTAATCACAATTATATGTTTTGCTATACTATATGAGAATTTATACTCTTCTATTTATACAAATTACACATGTATTCAGCAGCGTAAGAGGTATTGTCTCTCAAATATGAGAAGTCTAATATTCAATACAAACTACTTTGAAGAGCTCTTTTTTGCATTTGCTGTAAGATTTTGGCCAGTGAGTTGGGCTAGTAATTACTGCTAGAAGTCAGCATTTGTGCATCTCCAAAGCATGTTAGAATACAAAACACAAGAGCCACTACACCCACCTGTTTTCTCTAAGCGCAGCACGTACCAGTCTTTCACCTGCAAAGTTCTGTCATTCTTTTAAAATGCAACTTGTAAAGTCAGTAGTGTTGAACACGTGCAAATAGATCCTTCTTTGTCAGCTTTTAGAGCAAATCCTCCTTAAAGTTTATAAGACATACTTTTTGACTGTGTCAGCAATACAGAGTTAAAGATTTCATTCTGGTTAGCTTATCAAAAAGATATTTTTGAAATTTAGCTATTTCCATATGTAGATAAGGACGCATAATCTTATATCTATGACATGTTACATTTTTTTTCTGTTCTTCCTCTTCCTTGCTCACATCTTTTTCTTTGTTCTCGTACCAGCCCAGTCTCTGCCACAGCTCTTTGGTACAGGCCACAAGTGCTTTTATCTTCTATCAACAGAGATTTATTTGTATTGTATTTATTTATATTGTATTTATTTATATTTTATTTTATTTATGAATTCTGCAGCAGTGCCCTGTGCAAAGCCAAGAAAAGGCAAGTTGAGGTTAGTCGATATGGAGGACAGGCTTAGGTGCTCTGAGGGGCAGTGAAACACCTGGTTCTGCCTCCATTTGGGCTGAGTTGATATGTTAGAAGTTGTCGGAATAAACACTCTAACAGCACTGTGCTTCTAGGTGCAAATTTGGTTTTAGAGGCATGGGCAGATATTTCAGTAGTACCTCTGGCTTACTTTTGTCAGCTTTTGCAGCTGTAGTGGGAAATAAATTGTGAGTCTAGTTGGTCTTACCTCCCTCACTTTTCCTGAGCGACTGCTGGTAGGATAGAGTAGTCAGAAAGAAGTTGGTGGGAGAGCAAAATGGACTTTGTTTAGGTGAGGGGCTGGATTAGTCTCTTTATTCTTCTGACGTAGATATTATTTTCAGCAGAGAAAGGCACAGAATCACAGCATTGATGCTGGGGTTTGGTTTGGAAGGGACCTTTAAGATCATCTGTATGTGAGCAGGAACACCTTCCACTAGAGAGGGTTGCTCAAAGCTCCATCCAACCTGGCCTTGAACACTTCCAGGGATGGGGATGGGGTATCCACAACTTCTCCAGACAACCTGTATCAGTGCCTCCCACCCTTGAATTTATTCCTAATATCTAATCTAAACCTGCCCTCTTTCAGTTTAAAGCCATTGCTTCTTGTCCTATCACCACATGCCCTTATAAAAAGTCCATCTCCAGCTCTCTTGTAGCCCCCTTTGGGTACTGGAAGGCTGTTTGAAGGTCTCTCTGGAGCTGAGCAACCTTCTCCAAACTGAACAACCCCAACTCACTCAGCCTGTTTCCATAGGAAAGGTGTTCCAGTTCTGTGACAATCTTTGTATCCCTCCTCTGGACCTGCTTCAACATGTCAATATCCTTCTTATATCAGGGACCCCAGTGCTGGATACTGAACTCCAGGTGGGGTCTCACAAGATCTCTGTACATTGTACCGCCTACCTTTCATCCAGACTGTGAAAGCACTTGGAATTGCCATGGGAAGGGTTTAGACCAAGAAGACTCTTGTGGACAGTGAGTCCTTGTGGGAGCTGCACGAGTAAGCTGCATTGCTGGCCTAAGTGATGCTTTCATGCTGATGGCATGAGATTCTTCCTACGCCTGCTCTGAGCCCATGGTCAGTGCAGGTCCTGCAAGCCATGGCTTGGGATCCATGCTGATGAAAGGCATCAGTAAGGCTGATGGTTAAAGGGAAAATCTGATACCACTGTCAGATGCAGATTTCACTTCTCCCTTGGACTGATAGAACCATAAAACAACCCAAAATCCAGATATTCAGCCTAAGATCAAAATCTAAAGTTGGATAAAATATAATGCCATGCTTTTTAGCGAGGTCTGGACCTTGGAGAGGTGGCTTTTTAGTTTTGTTAGTGAACAACACCTTAGTCCTTCATGAAAAAAAATCTTATTTGGGCTCTAACAAAAAGAACTCATGCAAAGAACCTGTTGCTGAGAAAGCTAAGTCAAGAGCAATTAAGTCTTACTCTATTTGTGTGAGGGCCTTGTGGGCATCCAATAGAATTTAATTGCCATGACTTGGCCTCTCCTGGACCCACATCCTTACATCAGCTTTGGGCCCTAGAGCACATCTATACTTCAAGCTGGATCAAACTTTCTTGCCTTTGAATGTTGGCACAGTGCTCTGATCTTCACTTGTGTGTATACTTGTTCATTTACTTTCTCTCCTTGCTAAACAACTCTGCCCAAAATTTTTATCTTAAATATGCCCGGGTAGGCTTAAATATGCCTGGAAGGCAGGCACTGTGGGTACATCTGCTGGCTTTCCTTACAACAGCTTCTCACAGAAGTCTCATTTTGGCTTTTTTTTTCCTGCTGCTGTTTCAACCAGCATATTCCTGCAGGTGTCACTGGTGCTACACGGCTTTTTTAAACCTTGCAAATCCGTGGGTTTTTCAAAAGGTGCCATTTATGTGCACAATCCTACATGATATGACACCAGCACCTTTCTGCTAAAACTGCCACCAGATCTGCTGTATTACATCTAATATTTACTCTGCTGCAGAAAAGATTAGGGGAAGGGCTTATTACCTTGGCAAAGAAAGGAAGACTTTAGTCACACAGATAATCATAAGTCAGCACAGAACTTCTTTCTAAGTTGTTCTGCATAGAAATCATCTTGTGCTCAGAATTTGAAACACAGCCTTATGTCACCCATGGAAAAGGAGGGAGAGTCACAGTGAGCTGAGGGCAGGTCCTCAGCATTGGTTTGTCAGAAAAAAAGGTCCCTTCTCTTCTGACATATGAAGGTTTATTTCTCATTAAGGTATTTAAGCTATTCTACTTGTGGGCTGCTGCTAAAGAAGTCCATCTCTCATACCTTTCATGCTGCCCTTTGTCAGCAGCTTACTTTTGGGTTATCTTCAACTACCAGTGAAGCTGCAACTTTGGATATGAATACTTGGTTATGTTTCTCAGTCATTTCCTATGGATCAGAGCTGTAGCTTTGCTAAAGTCATTGGGGATTTACCAAGACAGCCAAGTTGTGCCAAACAAGAGCAGAGAAGGCCTTTTCTGGATCTGTACCATGGACAACTTCAAGGGAATCAGCTCAGCAGAGTTTTTGGGGATGGATAACTTCCCCAGCAAGACAGATCTTGGTTCTATCTTTCCCTGACATTCTAAAGATCTGAGCAACTTGATTTCTGTCTTGAACCTTTTGTACATGGGAAACTGTTTGCAACTGTTGAAATTTGTGGCATTCCCTGCTGGGACATTTACATTCAGCTGGTTCTGCTGCTTTTGACAAATGTCTGCAAGCAGAGTCAATCCTCAAGTATATACAAAGACAGTATGTCAGTGCAAATGCCTTCTTTACAGGACATGAGCCATATTAGTTTCTGGAGTAAAGCCAAGGAAGTTAATGGGTATAGCCTCTGAAGTTTAGGAGTTTATATTACTTGTATTCTATTTCTGTAATAATTTCTGGTACATTGATCAATTTTCAGGTTGTTCTACTAATGCCATCTCAGGTTAAATCACCACATTACTTTTGTGGTATCATACTGATGCACTGTTTCTTTCTGTGCTCTGTTGCTGGGTTGTTCACACTAATTAATGACAATATAATTTTTTCATTATTATACATCAGGTTTAATGAGAGCAAATTGTACTGGCCTCTGACTCACCCCTTCTTACAGCCTTGCACCTGATGTTGTATCCCTCCTCTTTACCATGCTGGAGGTACTGGAATTAGACTGCTTTAAGAACCTGTATGTAAACACTTGTAAGTTTTTTCATGATAAGGAATGGCAGTGTTATTTTTAAAAATATTTTTTCCATCTAGCATTCAGATTTATGTCTTCCTTGGTACTTGAATCTGGGCGTATAAGAGACTGAAGAAAGAAGAGTTTATGCCAAAACTGAAACAAAGTGGTGATTTCATATCTTTCCAAGATTCTTTCCACATCAAGAGCTTAGGCCCTGGCCCTTGTGCAAGTTATTTCTTGTGAAGTCAGAGTTTTGTTGCTCCTTGGTAACGTGAGATGGCATATCTGCACAGGCAGGAAATTTGAACCAAACGGGGGATGTGAGGAGGAGAAGTTGCCTAGTAAAACAGCCAACAGACAAAAATACACCTCTGGTTTTGGTAAAGACCTTCAGCCATATTTCAGTGTCTCATCTCACATAGTTTCTTAGATGTTATAAAGGACCTGAGTGAATCAATTACCATATAGAGATGTAGCAGATTTCTTTGGATGTATTTTTAATGAGAAAGGGAATCACCAGAGGGACAGGTGCAATTCCGTGCTATGCTATATCCAGTTCTGGGCTGGAAAAGCTCTAAGAGTTTAAATAGTCTTTTTTTTCTTTTCCCCTCCAAATTTGCTAGATCCTTAAAAAAAGGATTCTAGTAACATGGTTGTAGTTTACTAGATTGCCCATTTAAAAAATGGGCTTTCCCCCCCTCATTTTTGACATGTCAGCTTTGCAGAGAGGGAAAACTGTGAACTAAACTTTTGTGCTGCTGATAATATTACAGATTTCTGGCCAGGTCGTGGAGAGGGTACTACCTCACTCACAGTTGAGCAACTTGAAGTCT